CGGCCGCGGATTGGCTGGTTTGGGTCACGTGGGCGTGCCCCGCTTTTCCTGGCGACGAGTGGCCGGCCGCCGGCTGGTTTCCGGTGCGGGGGGTCGGAGATGACGGAACCCGGCGCTTCTCTGGAGGACCCCTGGGTCAAGGCAAGCTCCGCGGGCGAGCACGCCGGGGAGGGGAGGGCGGGGCGGGCGCGTGTACGTAGGGGGTCCGGGAGATGAGGGAAGTCGCTCCGGTGCCCAGAGTACCCCCGCTTCCGCCCTCCGGGCCCGGGGGCTCCAGAGAAGACAGCTCGCCCCCCGCGCGTGCTAAGGTGGGGAGGTGGCGGAGGCGCGTGTGCGCGAGTGTGCGGGCGGGTCTGGGACTGGGCAGGTGGCGGGGTGGGGCGGGCGGGGTCATGCCGAGGGGCGGCGCTCCCACGACCTAGCCGGTCTTGGCTCTCGGGGAAAGCCTTCCGTTTCTTGCGCGCGCCGGTGTGTGTCTGTCCGTCCTTCCATTGCCTGCGCCCCTGCCTGTCGGTCCTTCCATTGCCTGCGCACCTGCCTGTGCGCAAACGATTGTACGCAGAGGGAAGAGGCCTCCTCGGGACGGAGGCCTGACCGCTTTCCTCCCTTGCTGGGTGCCGCAGGTGGAGTATGCCTACAGCGACAACAGCCTGGACCCCGGTGAGTGCCTCCCCACCCCCTTCAGCCCTGTAGGTTCCCTTGGCCTCGGCCGCCACAGTTGACCACAGCCCTGTCTCTGAGCCTGACACAGTGAGGGAGGAGCTGGAGGACCAGGGCAGGAGGCACGGGAGGGTGATCCTGGTTCCCTCTGCTGTGGAGCAGGGAAGTGATGGAAATAGTGACAGCTGGTCACTCTCACCCTCATCAAGCCCAGGTGTTGCTTTGTGAACCAGCAGCACCATTGCAGGCCAGTGGAGCAGTTCAGACCCAGGGACCGGAGCCTTGCAGATGGCTCTAGAAGTGGCTGGCCCAGTACGGCTAGCTTTTGGTTTAAGGGAGAGGTCAGCATTTAAGGATCAAAAAAAGGGGGCCCCGGGGGTTTTGAAGGCTTACCGGGTTTTCCCCCCCCCCCCCCCCCCCCACCTTACCCCTTAGTGATTGGGGCCTCTCTTTTCCAGGGCTTTTTGTAGAAAGCTCCCGCAAGGGGAGTGTAGTGTCCAGAGCTAATAGCATCGGTTCCACCAGTGCCTCTTCCGTCCCTAACACAGGTAGGCAGCCACATCCCCCATCTGGCGGGGCTCAGATATGCCATCATTTTAGTATCTTCTTAGGATGCTCTAGCCATCCACGTGGGGTGCTAGAGCCCTAGTGCTAGACACAGGGTCTCATCATCTTTTACCTCATCTAGAATAAGTTCCCGTGTCCATCTGCTACCTGGGCACTACGTTCTTTTTCCCAGTTAGGGAAAGACGGATTAGCTGGGTCTCCCTGGGCCCCAGATTGATCTCTTCCTGCCCCCAACTCTGAGCGTAGATGACGAGGACAGTGATTACCACCAGGAGTCCTACAAGGAGTCCTACAAGGACCGGCGCCGGCGAGCACACACGCAGGCTGAACAGAAGAGGAGGGATGCTATCAAGGTGATTGGGGAGGCCTCAGCCAGCACAGGAAGGCCCTGCACATTTCAGACTCATTGTGCCCTGACCCATCAGACAGGCCCAAGCCACCTGGGGGCAGCTAGTCGTCCCCGGACATGAACACCCCCCTCCTTCCAGCCCCCACCCCTTTTAGTTTGTGAGAATGGGACTTAGTGTCATGGAAGAAAAGTTTGTGCCATTTTGTCTTAACCCCTCAGAGTTAAGGAATCTATTTCCCTTGCTCTCTCCACAGAGAGGCTATGACGACCTTCAGACCATCGTCCCCACCTGCCAGCAGCAGGACTTCTCCATTGGCTCCCAAAAGCTCAGCAAAGCCATCGTTCTGCAGAAGAGTATGGCGGGGAGAGCACTGGAGGGGTTGGAGCAATGGGGCTATGAGCAGGCTAGCCTTAGACCCACTTTTGGCCTGGCCCTGCTGGGTGGTTGTAATGGGAGACTTGGGGAATGGGGAAAAGGGAAACAAGATCAGCCTTGTCCTCTGGTTGATGTCCTCTATGCCCACAACCTCTGTCCACCTTCACCCTAGCTATTGACTACATCCAGTTCTTGCACAAGGAGAAGAAAAAGCAGGAGGAGGAGGTGTCCACCCTACGCAAGGACGTCATGGCCCTAAAGATCATGAAAGTGTAAGCGTGCCCAACTGTGGGAACCAGGGCTTCTGAGGGGACTGAGGCCCACTTCACTTCACTCTCCCTTTTGTTCAAAGGCCACATCAGATAATATTCTCACTCCCTCCGGTGGCCGCTTAGAGGCAGGAACCTGTCCCCCAATAGTCCCTGATAGTAGACACTAGAAAAGTCTGTTGGGTTAATGCAGGGGTCCTCAAACTTTTTAAACAGGTTCACTGTCCCTCAGACCATTGGAGGGCCGGACTATAGTTTAAAAAAAAACTATGAACAAATTCCTATGCACACTGCACATATCTTATTTTGAAGTAAAAAAACAAAACGGGAACAAATACAATATTTGTATTTGCATGTGGCCCTCGGGCCGTAGTTTGAGGACCCCTGGGTTAATGGAAGGTTCGGCAAAATAGGTGTCTATTTTTAACCTAAAAGCAGTATCTAGCTTATGACTATATCCCCAAAGCTCTTCCCCTTCTTGGTTGGGGGAGGTATTGGGGTCACCCAGTTACCCTCCTGGCCTGGTAGAGCTGCTGTAGCACCTCAGCCCTGGCCTGCTTGCTTTTAGGAACTACGAGCAGATTGTGAAGGCACACCAGGACAACCCCCACGAGGGGGAGGATCAGGTTTCCGACCAGGTCAAGTTCAATGTGTTTCAAGGCATCATGGACGCCCTGTTCCAGTCCTTCAATGCTTCCATCTCTATGGCCAGCTTTCAGGAGCTGTCGGCTTGTGTCTTCAGCTGGATTGAGGAGCACTGTAAGCCTCAGGTATGGGGCAGCAGTGGTCACAGGGCCGGAGGCTCCTCCCACCTTTAGGCAAAGTGACCCAAGCCATTTCGAAAAGCAGGTAGCAGACTTTAGGTTTCTTCAGGGTGTTTCTATAGCTTTCAGTACTCGTTCCCCCTTTTGCTTTCTAAAGTTTACATTTTCCTGTTACGGTTTCATTTATCAAGTATGATCTGAGCACTTACTCCTATAAGGCCAAGTTCTGCCTTGGTTTAGTCCATGTTGTGGCCACCTTGGTCACTCCTCAGCTGCCCAGTGTGTGAGCCCCATCACTTGAAGCAGAATTACGTGGGGTTTTGGGAAAGATTTCTAGCCCCAACCCCAGGCCCACTAAGGTAGCTTTTCCTGGAGTTTGTAATGACGTGGTGTGTTAATGGTATTAAACTGAGTCTTCTGCTTTTGAGGCCTAGTTGCTTCTTCTGGGGCTTAAACTTGTCTCTCAGATTCTCTTTTGTTTTCAAACATTTTTATTATGAGACACTTTAAACATACTGGAACATCAAGAGAATTTACACTGAATATTCATATATCTATCGCCCAAATTCTACCATTAACATTTTCCATATTATCCCATAGCTGTCTATCTCGCCATCCCTTTCTCCATCCTGTTTTGGGGGCATTGCAAAGTAAACTGTAGACATTAGTGCTTCCCAGGGGCTTTTTTTTTTTTTCCGCTAGAAAGAGCGCACCTGGTCAGGTGTCCCAGACAGCTCTCTGCCCTCACCTGAGCATCATCTCTCTTCCTCTGCTGCCCTCAACAGACCCTACGGGAGATCGTGATCGGTGTCCTGCACCAACTGAAGAACCAGCTTTACTGACCTGCAGGACAGCCAACAAGAGGCCTCAAGTCTCCTACTTGGTCACAACCACTGGGCTTGTGAGATTGGACTGCAACACCGCACACCAGTCAGCTGGTTTCTCTTTCATGTTTCCTCCCCTAGCCCCCCCTCATCCTCAGTGGGGCTGGGGTGTGTTGTGAAAGCTTCTGATTAATTTATTATATTGACTATAGAGCTCGAACCTACCCAGTCTTCCCCCCATAGAAGTCCTCAGAATGGGGGTCTGCTGGGGGGCCGGGGGGGCGTGCACGCGCACACACACACCCCTTTCCTAAGCCTCAGAATTCAGCACATGATCTACACATATTTAGAAACTGTTTGCCTGTTTCGGTATCTTGGGTGACAGCTGGCCCAAGTTTGGCCATTTTGGCAGTAGTCGCTCGAGAGGAATGCATTAAGAGAAAAGACTTCCACAGCTATGCAGGGTGAAAGGCCGCTCATGCCTAGGCTAGAGCTGCCTGGTCAGCCCGAGGTAGAGCCACGGCTTTCTGGCCGGCTCAGGCTCGGCTGCCAGGGTCCTGCTCCTGCTGTTGACTCCACCACCTCTTCCCTGCTCTGGGCAGCAGACAGAAGCAACCTCCCACCTACTCCTGCCCTCTGTCCCCACAGGCACTGGCGCTGCACAGCAAAGTCAAATGTGACAAAAGTTTTTATTTTTCTAAATACCAACAAAAGCTCTGCTGAAATTACAATTTTTAAAAAATTAGCTGGGCCTTAAAACCACCCCCAGCTTTCTGTCAGATGTATCTGGGTCTCTACCATCCTTCATGTGCTGCTTACATTTCTGCCAGGACTTGGGGGTGGGTGAAGGCCCGAGGTATATGGAACCCAAGAGAGTCTAGGGTGCAGCCCTGGACTCCTTGAATGCTGTGTATAATAGCCTCTCTCTACCTTTGTCCCCCAACCTCCCTTTTGCCTTCCTCAGATTTGTTATCTGGGAGGTTTGATTATCTAGAGGAAATTAAATATTTTTATATCAAATTATATTACAATAAATATTGCCAAATGCTTTCCTTTAGTTTTGTTCCAAGTCTAAGTGTTAAGCACAAGCATTTGAAATTACATTCTAGACCATGTAATGAGTGTACCCATCGACTCTGGTTGACCAGCACTCCTTCCCCTCCCGCTCTGCCAAATACTCTGGTTTATGCCCCTCTCCCAACTGCCCTGCTCAAAGGTTGAAAGCAGCAGTAACAATAAAAAAAGCTGGCAGCCAGTCTGGGACTCTGTCCCCATAACCCAGTCCTACCACAGGGGCTCTCAGGGGTCTGGGAGCTTGACATTATAATCTTCATCTGTCTCTATCCCAACTTCCTCCTGTGGGGCAATGAGACAAGTGAATGAGACCTCTTGGCGAAACCCCAGGGGAGTAAGGAAGAGAAAGAGAACCACTTACAAAGAACTGCTTCTTGCTCTTGGGGTACCCTTCCAGGATTGCATCACACAGCTCTGTTGCCTGACAAGAAACAAGACCACCCCTTTGCAGATGGGCAGCACTTGGCACTGCTTAACAGATCCATGACACGGCAGCAAGTTTCTCAGGGGGGCGGGGGGGGGGGGGGCTATTTTCCAGGGCCTGCCTGGGAACTCCTGCACTTACCATCCTCTTGCGCTTCCTCCACTCCTTGCAGTACTTCTGCTTCTCTTTGTACACCTAAGCAGGGGGGACAGGTTTCTCTAAGCCCTTAGCCCCACGGCAGGGCAGCTGCTGGGGTCAACTCTTGTGCTTACTTCTCTGCACAGGCTACCTGCCCTCCCAACTCACCTGTTCTTTCTCCTCCGGGGTCACATGGCTGGTGGCTGCTTTGATGTTCTTCAGTCTCTCTGTGTAGCCAGCACATTCCTTCTTTAACTCCTGGATCTCTTTCTGCATCTCCGGTGTGGTCAGGGCACTAGTTAACTCCTTCAGCTCTGAAACCACATCTCCCTGAGATCACTTGTCCCCCAAGGAAGGGGTTCTCTTCCAGTGGGTACTCCCTGAGGTAGGAGACCAGGCCTCCACTTGCTCTGGGTTTTACACCCAGGGTCCAGAATGGGCCCCTTATTCTAGAAATGTCCAGGAAGCTGTAGCCAGGGAAGTGTGAGAACAGTATGCTGATAACCATGATAAGGAAAGCAGATGCATGTCCCATCCATTTGAATTTCAAAAGCCATCAGCTGTCATATATTTCTCTGAATGTAATGCTATGGCAGCCCAGCAAAGGGATCCTCACTGCACTGAGACAACAATGCAGTCAACAACCCATTTCCTCAGTAATCCTGACCTCTGGACAGACCCTGATGCTAGCGAGGGGCACCCTCCGAACAGCCCATTCCTACCAGCCTCCATTTGGCGACAGCTCTGCTGCAAGCTCTGCACCTTGGCAGTGAGGGTCACGATTTTGGCATCCAAGCTTTGGAGGTCAGCATCACTCACCGTGTCAAACTGGTCCTGCCAAAGACAAGAAGAAAAGTGGCCTGATGTGTGACCCCACGTCTAAAAGGCAACATTCACACACACACACACACACACGAACCTTCCGAAATAGCAGGAGTGTACTTTTGAGAGATCATTCAATTTAGTACTGAGTCCAACAACAAGGTATCAAAGTTGAAACCTAATGCCTGTCCTCAAGGGGCTTCTAGGTTGTCAGGAGACTGATAGGACAAATATCTGTCAGTTTAGTGGTCAAAACTCTCACTAGGCTGAAGGAGGAAAGGAACATTCTTCCCACAGTGATGACTGAACGAGGGCTTCCACAACAGGAAGGGTCTGGACAGGCAGGGGCGTGGTGGGAGGGATTTCGTTAAGGGACTCGAGGAATAAAGTCTGAGGAGCCCCTCCCATGAGACGAGCTGCTAGAAAAAGGACTGTGTTGGGGCTCAGTGGGGGTCTCATCAGTTGGTGAGAGGAGCAGGTTAGAAAGGATGTGAATCCAGCCTGGGCAGCCTGAACTCCACATTAAGGCAATGTTAAACCTTTACAACAAGAGGCAGCAAACGACAGCCTGTAAGCCAAATCCTGCATGGTTTTGACAGTTGAGTAGCTGTGGCAAGAGACCACCTGGCCTGCAAAGTGTAACAATTGTCTGGCCCTTTACAGGAAAAAAAATTCCAGCTTCACCTTTAGGGGACCTTCAACAGAGTAGTAACATAATGAAACCTATTTTAGGAAAATTTGCCTTGATGGTGATTTGATTCAGTTAAAGGAGTATTTAATGTCTACTGGATGTTGAATACTGTGGGGTGCTAACAAAGATAAATGAGAAATGGGGTCTGTATTAGGACAGTTTAGTGGGGGAGACAAGTAAAAAGACAATTATACTACCGTATGCCTCAAGAGGTAAGCCATTAGCTCAGAGCATCCAGAGAAGGTTTCTGGAGAAGGTAATGTCTCAGTGAAATTCTAAAGGATGAGTAAGTTAGCTGGGCAAAGAGGTATAAGAGGAAGAAGGGACTAAAACACTCCAGGCAAAGGAAAGACAATGAGCAAAGGATACAGGAGTAAAACCTATTTAATGGTCTAGTATTAATGGATGGAGAAATAACAGGGACAGATGAGGTTAGAGGCAGGCTGGGGCCAAGTCTCCAAGTGCCTATTACCTGTTCCAGAGGCACTAGAATTTTAGGTAGGAAATGTCATGACTAGATTTTCACAAACACGGATCGCTCTGGCTGCAATGTTTGAGGAGACCAGGAGATGTTAGGATATTGCAATAGATGAGGAGCAACCTGACCGGTTTGGCTCAGTGGCTAGAGCGTCGGTTCGATTCAGGTCAAGGGCATGTACCTTGGTTGCGGGCACATAAATGTATCCCGCTTGCCCTGACCGGTTTGGCTCAGTGGATAGAGCGTCAGCCTGCGACTGAAAGGTCACAGGTTCGATTCTGGTCAAGGTCACGTGCCCAAGTTGCAGGCGGATTCCCAGGAGGGGGCATGCAGGAGGCAGCTGATCAATGATTCTCTCTCATCATTGATGTTTTGTATGTGTGTTGTTTTTTCTCTCTCTCTTCCTCCCTGAAATCAATAAAAATAAATATAAAAGAATGTGAGAGGAGCCAGTAGGGGAGAGATGAAGCATTCTACTGTAGCCATAATGATTCTGAAAGACATCCATTTGGAGGTTTGGGCTGAAGATACAAAATTAATGTGTGTGTTTAGGAAGGCGGGTGGAGACGGAAGGAAAGTAATTTGGCAGGTGGTTCTAATCTAGACGATTGGGAGTTAAGAACTTCCAAGCAGAACTGGATCTTGGACTTTCTGTCATCATATTTTAAGTATGTTAATCTCATGAAGTTTGGATCACAGCAAGGGAGTACACACACTGATTTAAAGGATGGCTGGGGCTCTTTTAATGGCGTAAGACAGCGGAGTTTCATGGATTGCCTCAATTCTCCCAGAGAGAGTTCAAACGTGGGGCTGATTCACCTAAATTGGGCTCGCACACGGGGCGGGGGCGGGGGGGTAATTTGCGCAGACTTCCCTCACCTGGTCTGCAAAATAGATCTTCTGCTTGCCGTACATCTTCTCTTTAATCTTGCCTTGTTGGGCCAGCTGCTCCAGCGCCTTCACCACGGCCTGGCAGGGGAGAGTGCGGGGCAATCAGTGACTTCGGGCCGGGCGGCCAGTGTTAGGGGCAGCGCGCGACCAGCCTTAGGAAGCCCAGGGCTACAATGGCCGACTCGAGGGGTCCCCAGGGGAGGAACCCCGGGAGCGGGTCCTCACCGCTTTGCCCAGCCCGTGTTCCCGCTGCAGGTTCCCAAACACATCCTGGGCGCTGTAGGGCCGGTTCTGCTCCTGCAGGTACTTCAGGAGGACGCCGGGGGCTACGGGAGGAGAAGACACAGGGGCGGGGTCACTCAGCCGACCCCCGGCCCCCTTACCCGCTCCCCTCCGGGTCTCCCCGGCTCCCGAGGCCCGCGTACCGCCAGTCGCCGCTTCAGCCCTGCCTTTACTCATGGCCTTTCCCGCCGCCAAACTCCGAAAGCCGGACGTTACCGTTGCTCCGGGCAACGGCTTCTTCCGGCGGCGGGAGGGGCGGGCCTCGTGCGGCCACTGGCGGAAGAGGAAGCCTTCGCGAGGAACGAAGCGGACCTTCCGGGACCCCCCAGCGGGTTTCTGCCCGGAGCTAGGACACCGCGCACCACCCCCTGCCCGGGAGTCTGCAGAGGAGGCGGGGCACACACTTCCAACCTTCCCCTGCTCCCCCCGGAACGGAAGCCGGAGTACATCACGCCTTGGTCTTGTGGCCCGGCCCCCGCGGCGGCTGAGCAGGGCCGAAGGTTCCGACGGGAAACCTCGGGGTCAACTCCCGCTGGGCCGTCGGCCCGCTCAAGGTCACAGCGCAGTTACCGTCAGGGCCACGTCCCAGCCCACGGCCCGAGGCCCTTGGCCGCTAGTCTTATTTGTAAAGTAGGAGCCAGGGGTACTTGCAGAAGGGTGATCGTAGACTTAATAAGTAAAACACCCTGGAAAGAAAAGTCACCTTTGTTTGCTCGTTACCGAGCTCCGCACACAGGGGGCGCTCAACTCATGCTGTGGTTTGAACGCCAAGGGAAGGTAGGGCTGCGAGAGGGCTATTAAACCACAAAGCTTTTCGAAGTTTCCTGTTGGCTGAGTCAATTTTATGGCAACACCTGGCAGGTACTTTCCACTCCTGCCCACAGTGGCCAATGGGACGAAGCTTAAAATAAGTATTTCTAGTTTCTGAGGTCAGGTGAAGGCCAAAAGAGCAGCTGTCCCTGCAGCTCAAACAATCCGGAGGAGGGACATGGTGTTACTTTTTAAAGCCTTCTGTTACCTAAAATCTCATTAGCCTTTGAAATATACTTGTCTCCACACGTTTAGGGAGCAGTATCAAGAATCAGATGCCCTGGCCAGTGTGGCTCAGTTGGTTGGAGAGTCACTGGGCACCGAAAGGTTGCTGGTTCTGTTCTAGTCAGGGCACATACTTAGGTTGCGGGTTTGATTCCTGGTGGGGGTGTGTACAGGAGGTAACCAATGTTTCTCTTATATATCGATGTTTCTCTTTCCCTCTCTGAAATCAGTAAAAACATCTTCAGGTGAGGATTACAAATCAAAAAAGAATTAGAAATGATGGAATAGAAATGATGGAACTGCACGCTAGATGCTGGCCAAGAGTGCCAGTTATGCTCATGTCTGGGCTCTCCTGGGGAGGGGATAGTGGCCTCATACCATGGTGATTTTCTGACCATCACAAAGGAAAAACCGATAGGCAAATGGGTTCCTTACACCTGGACTTCCTCTTCTGAGGCTCTCGCCTCCTCTAATCACATACCAGATTAATAAGAGACCTATCAAGGGTAGGACACCATTCAACATTAGTCTCTTACAGATTGTTCTCATATAAGATTTATTCCCCGACACCCCTCCCACCCCTCCCCTCACCCCAATTCACAGTGGAGGACTAAGGAGATTCAGAGCAGGATCCCCAGGTACAAGAAACACCTTCCAAAGATTTTGCTCTCCTTCCTTCCCTCCTTGCTAACTCCCAAGCCTGGAGCTACACACACTCATGCAAACACGCAAAATCCCACTCCTTTCCCACACCTCCCATTTTTTTCCACATCAGAGATCACCTGTAAGACATCTGGGCTCTGAGAGGAGATAAGGTGCCCAAAATATGTGAGAACCCCAAGTGGGGAAATGCCATTACCACTAACATTCACACAAAGGTGACTATGAAATAGGCATCTAGTTCTTCTCCCTTCTCACTGTTCATGATTTTCACGTCCTGGCCTCTACCTTTCATCAACCAAGAGCAAACATGTTAGCACACTCCCACCTGTAGCACATGAAAATGGGCTCTGTCCAGCATCCCTCACCCAGGTGCGGAGGTGTTGGGGGAGTGGTCCCTGAGGATCAGCAAAGGGTTAATGCAGAGGGAAAGAGGACAGGAGTTTGGCTTGAGCTCTGGAGAAGCAGAGAGAGGGTGTAAGCTGACACAAGTTTAGAACTAATTACCAATTTCAGTTTTTGTTTCACATGATTTTACTAGGGACAGTCTTAACAGATACCCCTTAGAGGGGTCGCTGCTCATTACAGACACATTCTTGCTAATTTGGCTCATCCTTAAAAGAGGTCCACCAGGTTGGGAAGCAGTTCAATATAAAAAGTTTTAAAGGAGCTGAACAGAGTAAGAATAGCTGGTGAAGGAAGAGCTGGTGGCTTCTGGGATGAATGCCACTGAGCCATTTGTAAAGTGCTACTCTGGCCTCCCCCATGGAATATTGCTTCTCCAAAGGAGGAGCAAGGGAAGGAACAGGAACATGGGAATGGGTGTGGTCTGGTATTGCTTTGCTAGTTGCTCAGGCCGATGGGCAAATAGAGCCAGGGGTTAGCAGCACCGAAGACTACCAGGCAGCTCCAAAAGATTCAGTGAGACCACAGAGAGGCACTCACCCTTCCAGCCAGCTGACCCACGGCCCAAGGTAATATAGAAGAGGCCCACCTCCACATCATGTTCACATTTCTTAAATTTCACAAGCAGTTTTGGAGCAAACTGGGGGTTAGGCCTCAAGGAATGAGGATGGGCTGTGGCAGAGGGAACAGGCCTGCTCTGCGGAACCAAAGGAGAAGCTTGCTTAGAAACAGACAAATCATGGCTTAGCCCAAGAGGAGAATGACAGTGTAATTCTTCCAGCTGCTGCCTGACTTGGGCCTCTAGGGAGATGATGGAGGAGGAAGGGCTCTTCTATCAATGAGGGCTCCTGAGCACCCATACCTAGAAGCAAACAGCAGCACCCCCTCAAAGGGGAACCAATACCCCTGACTACTTTGTTCCCCAGAAGTATCATCCTGATGGGGAGAAGCCTCCCTAAGGAAGCACACTCTCACTTCAGTGACTGAGCTCAGAAATGGGTGTCCAGCTGGTATCAGGGAAGTGAGTATCTTCTCTCAACAGGCCTCTGAGCATCAGCCAGGCCACCAGGCATACAAGTGTAAGTCAGGGGATGGGACCTGGGTTCTTCCCTTGCCCCTTCACCTTTAGTGGGATGAGAAAAAAACCCTAAGCCACAGTGACCCCCCCAAAAGGAGTCTCTGCTTCAGTGGCTCCTGGAACTGGCAGGGTCCAGCTGACTCAGCTCTGACTGGTCCAGAAGTTCAAAGTCATCCCCCTCAGCATCAGTGTCCAGGTCTGAGCTGGGGGCCCGGAGGAAGCCTCTGGTTGCTCTCCGGGGAGGTTGGCCAGAAGGGCCAGGCTGGGAGGCCCCTGACAGGGCCAGCTGGATCATGCCCTGGGAGACCAGGCTGGCAAAGTTGCTGGTGAGGTTGGATCCTGCAGGCAGGGCACCAAGCAGGAGCTCCGGCAGTGTACTCTCGTCGCGGCTGGCTGGGGAGCCCTGGGGCTCGTCAGCCCCTGGTGGGGAATGGTACATCAAGCTGGGCATTCCAATGCTGGTATCGTCCTCATCGTCCAGGCCAGCAGGATCCACATTAATGGAAGGGAAGTCTGGAAGGTCTCTGGCAAAGGATTCCTCTGGATCACTGTGCCCATCTAGGTCTGAAAGCACAGAAGTGTGTCTGAGACATAGCAACTACCTGACCCCAGCCCCACCAAGTCGGCCCCATGTAACCACATTTTTCCACCCTGGATATCTAAGGGTGAAGCAAACCCATGGCACTGGTCAGCTTTTCCCCTCTGCTTATAGACTGCTGAGTCCTCTACTGGCGAGAGAACTCCCCCTCTCTCTTCTTCCACTATGCTCCCCAGGAACCTACAACCTGAGGAAACAAAGGAACTGAGGATTCCAAGGAGAGCAGCTGTGCCATCCTGGATGTCAGACCCCTAAGGCTGCTCTGACACCTGATCCACTTCTCAGAAAACAGGAGAGGAGAGGGCGGTATCCCTTCTGTCCAGGGAAGCTGAAAGGTGGTCAGTCAGAACCATTATCTAGTCAGGCCGCTCACCTTCAGAGCCTTCTGTTAGAGGTGTCTGGCCCCGTGAAAGATTGAATGTGCCATTGTCTGTATAGGAGACCTCAGCATCCGAGTGCTCAGAGTCTGTGATGGCCAATTCCCTGGCAACAGTAGAATCATCCAGCTACAGAAAGAAAACACAGACAAGCCTGAAGAGATGATGCCAGTAAGGACAGATGCAATAAATTAAAATTTTTTAAAAGTTAAAAAAAAAGAACAGATGCAATTCCCTAGTAACAGCTTTACTAATTACTGGCCCTGAAGACTACCCTAAGGCCAGAAGTAACCAGATGTGGATGGAGACTTCTGTCAAAATCTTGACCATTTTTAGGCTGCTCCCCAAGGAAAACACCCTTACTCATCAATCTTGAGCACAGGAAGGAAAGCAGTCTTAGGAGTCAACCAGCCACTTACTCTTAAGCAAACTGATCCAGAAAACACTTTTCACAGGTGACCTGGAGGATACACACACTGCCCAACCCAAGATGAGCAGGGCTCTTTATTTATTTATTTTTAAAATATATTTTATTGATTTTTTTACAGAGAGAAAGGGAGAGGGATAGAGAGTTTGAAACATCGATGAGAGAGAAACATCAATCAACTGCCTCCTGCACACCTCCCACTGGGGATATGCCCGCAACCAAGGTCCATGCCCCTGACCAGAATCGAACCCGGGACCCCTCAGTCTGCAGGCCAACGCTCTATCCACTGAGCCAAACTGGTCAGGGCATGAGCAGGGCTCTTTAAAAGATAATCACACCAGTTCCAGAAGTTCTGCCATGATGGCAGGGGTTAAAGGGAGACATGAAAGCGGGTGTGCTGGTCACCAGGCTCAAATTGAGATCTATTTACAAAGTCCCAATATAACACTAGCTTCTCACAGGAGCGCCAGTTATGCTCATGTCTGGGCTCTCACAGGGGTAAGGAGGGAGTACCTGAGCCTATGAGCTTACTACCTAAATGTAGGTGCCAGATGGTTAAAAGGGAGCTAAAGAAGACTGGCCAGCCCTGGCTCAGTTGGTTGGGCGTCATCCCATGCTCCGGAAGGTTGCT